CAAGCCGGTGCGGTCAGCACAGCTCAGCACCCGCGGGTGGGCAGTGAACTCGCTCCAGCGCCAGGGTGAATGGTCCCGGAAAAACATGGTCTCGGGGTCCCGGCGGAGCTGATGCAGCCTAGGGGAAAAAGCCACTGCTGTCACAGCTGGGCCTGAGGCAAGCGGAGAGCAGAGGCCAGAGCTGTCTCTCTCCCAAGGACCACATCACCACCCCACTCCTGAGAACCAGCGGTTTGTGCTGGCCCCCTCCAGCCTATGTGCCCGGCCTCACCCCGTCTCCACGCTCCAGAGGTAGACAGCTCCGCTCTGCGTGCAGACAGCCAGCTCCCCGGGGAGATGAGGGCTGCGAGAGAAGGGCAGGGCTTCACCACGGGGGCAGGAGCACCTGGCCCCAGGGAAGAGGGATGCAGAGGCAGGTGCCGAGCCCATCCGCTACGCCCCGTTCCCCAGGTGCCTACCTGACCGTGAGGCAGGAGGCAGGCACGTTGGTGCGGATGACCTGCAGCGGGGTAGGGGCAGCGCCTGTCCTGCTCCGCACCCTCCAAACACCGCAGTGATAGTCTGAGCGGACACCAACAAAACCTGGTGCAGGACAGAAGAGGCATGTTAGAGGGAACAGCCCTGAGTGCAGGGGGAGCTCCCCGCTCCCTCCCTGACCTGGGGCTGGACGCAGGGTGCCTCCACTGAGGCTGGGGGACCAATCCCAGGACCAGGCTCACCTTCCCCGTCCATCTGGGTGGCAGCCACCTGCCGGATGCGTCCGTTGAGTTCAAACTGCGCTGGGGAGCCCCGGGTGCGGGGCACCTCACCCAGCACCACATCCTGGAAATCTGGGGTGCTGGCTAAGGGCGGTGCGACACCAAACTGCCGTGGGGACACCCCCCCAGCACCCTTGGGAGAAGGATACAGAGGTGGTTCATGGCCTGTCCTCCAGGGTACACCAGACAGCCCATGCGTGTGCCTGCGTCTTCGGGGGGCAGCCAGGCCAGCGCCCCCCCCGGGGAGGCGGCGTCGG